GAGAGGGTGGAGAGCAGAGAAAAAGAGCCGACGCACCGTGAACCACTTTACAGCTTGTCTGTGGTCTTTTTGGCACGCTTAGTTACATTTGCGTGGGGTTTTTAAATAAAGTTTTATTGTTGAGTATAAACAATAAAGTTATTTCTTACTGAAAAAGTGTAAGCTGCTTTTTTAAAGCAAAAAATTGTTTGCACAAAGCTGGCTTCCTTTTATATTTTATCATAATTTTTGTCTTTTAGGGAGTTAACATTCTCTTATAAAAATTCCCATAGTTTTTAGTCACGAATATAGATGTCATAAGAGAGGGAAAGTTGAATTTGTGTAAATTGTGTCCGGCCGGTGTGGCTCAGTGATTTAGCATCAACCTATGAACCAGGAGGTCAGGGTTCGATTCCCGGTCAGGGCACAGGCCCAGGTTGTGGGCTTCATCCCCAGTGTGGGGTGTGCAGGACGCAGCCGATCCATGGTTCTCTCTCATCATTGATGTTTCTATCTCCCTCTCCCTCTCCCTTCCTCTCTGAAATCAATAAAAACATATTTTAAAAAAAGAAAACAATAACAAAACTTGTGTAAACTATAACAGGACTGAGCAGCTCTTTGGGGGGTTAGAATTGTGTCCCACAAGCCAGATGAGGACATTTGGAAACTACTTTGAATTTTGCCTCATTTTCTCCTTTCCACTTTCACCTGTAATGAAATTTAAATTTTTTTTAACTCATCCCAATTACATCAGACTTTTCAGAACTATGTCTCTGAATTTAGTTCACACCAAAAGAGGTGATGCATGAACAGGAAAAGAGGAAATGCATGAACAAGGGGAGAGGTAACGCGTGAACAGGAAAAGAGGAATGCGTGAACAAGAGGAGAGGTGCATGAACAAGGGGAGAGGTAATGCGTGAACAGGGGAGAGGTAATGCGTGAACAAGAGGAGAGGTAATGCGTGAACAGGGGAGAGGTAACGCGTGAACAGGGGAGAGGTGATGCGGGAACAGGGGAGAGGTGACGCGTGAACAGGGGAGAGGTGACGCGCGAACAGGGGAGAGGTGACGCGTGAACAGGGGAGAGGTGACGCGCGAACAGGGGAGAGGTGACGCGTGAACAGGGGAGAGGTGACGCGCGAACAGGGGAGAGGTGACGCGTGAACAGGGGAGAGGTGACGCGCGAACAGGGGAGAGGTGACGCGTGAACAGGGGAGAGGTGACGCGCGAACAGGGGAGAGGTGACGCGTGAACAGGGGAGAGGTGACGCGCGAACAGGGGAGAGGTGACGCGTGAACAGGGGAGAGGTGACGCGCGAACAGGGGAGAGGTGACGCGTGAACAGGGGAGAGGTGACGCGCGAACAGGGGAGAGGTGACGCGTGAACAGGGGAGAGGTGACGCGCGAACAGGGGAGAGGTGACGCGTGAACAGGGGAGAGGTGACGCGCGAACAGGGGAGAGGTGACGCGTGAACAGGGGAGAGGTGACGCGCGAACAGGGGAGAGGTGACGCGTGAACAGGGGAGAGGTGACGCGCGAACAGGGGAGAGGTGACGCGTGAACAGGGGAGAGGTGACGCGCGAACAGGGGAGAGGTGACGCGTGAACAGGGGAGAGGTGACGCGCGAACAGGGGAGAGGTGACGCGTGAACAGGGGAGAGGTGACGCGCGAACAGGGGAGAGGTGACGCGTGAACAGGGGAGAGGTGACGCGCGAACAGGGGAGAGGTGACGCGTGAACAGGGGAGAGGTGACGCGCGAACAGGGGAGAGGTGACGCGTGAACAGGGGAGAGGTGACGCGCGAACAGGGGAGAGGTGACGCGTGAACAGGGGAGAGGTGACGCGCGAACAGGGGAGAGGTGACGCGTGAACAGGGGAGAGGTGACGCGCGAACAGGGGAGAGGTGACGCGTGAACAGGGGAGAGGTGACGCGCGAACAGGGGAGAGGTGACGCGTGAACAGGGGAGAGGTGACGCGCGAACAGGGGAGAGGTGACGCGTGAACAGGGGAGAGGTGACGCGCGAACAGGGGAGAGGTGACGCGTGAACAGGGGAGAGGTGACGCGCGAACAGGGGAGAGGTGACGCGTGAACAGGGGAGAGGTGACGCGCGAACAGGGGAGAGGTGACGCGTGAACAGGGGAGAGGTGACGCGCGAACAGGGGAGAGGTGACGCGTGAACAGGGGAGAGGTGACGCGCGAACAGGGGAGAGGTGACGCGTGAACAGGGGAGAGGTGACGCGCGAACAGGGGAGAGGTGACGCGTGAACAGGGGAGAGGTGACGCGCGAACAGGGGAGAGGTGACGCGTGAACAGGGGAGAGGTGACGCGCGAACAGGGGAGAGGTGACGCGTGAACAGGGGAGAGGTGACGCGCGAACAGGGGAGAGGTGACGCGTGAACAGGGGAGAGGTGACGCGCGAACAGGGGAGAGGTGACGCGTGAACAGGGGAGAGGTGACGCGCGAACAGGGGAGAGGTGACGCGTGAACAGGGGAGAGGTGACGCGCGAACAGGGGAGAGGTGACGCGTGAACAGGGGAGAGGTGACGCGCGAACAGGGGAGAGGTGACGCGTGAACAGGGGAGAGGTGACGCGCGAACAGGGGAGAGGTGACGCGTGAACAGGGGAGAGGTGACGCGCGAACAGGGGAGAGGTGACGCGTGAACAGGGGAGAGGTGACGCGCGAACAGGGGAGAGGTGACGCGTGAACAGGGGAGAGGTGACGCGCGAACAGGGGAGAGGTGACGCGTGAACAGGGGAGAGGTGACGCGCGAACAGGGGAGAGGTGACGCGTGAACAGGGGAGAGGTGACGCGCGAACAGGGGAGAGGTGACGCGTGAACAGGGGAGAGGTGACGCGCGAACAGGGGAGAGGTGACGCGTGAACAGGGGAGAGGTGACGCGCGAACAGGGGAGAGGTGACGCGTGAACAGGGGAGAGGTGACGCGCGAACAGGGGAGAGGTGACGCGTGAACAGGGGAGAGGTGACGCGCGAACAGGGGAGAGGTGACGCGTGAACAGGGGAGAGGTGATGCGTGAACAGGAAGAGGTGAGAGGTAACCCGTGAGCAGGGAAGAGTTAATGCGTGAACAGGGTAGTGGTAATGCGTGAACAGGAAGAGGTAATGCGTGAACAGGGGAGAGGTAACGCGTGAACAGGAAGGCGGTAACGCGTGAACAGGAAGGCGGTAACGCGTGAACAGGAAGGCGGTAACGCGTGAACAGGAAGGCGGTAACGCGTGAACAGGAAGGCGGTAACGCGTGAACAGGAAGGCGGTAACGCGTGAACAGGAAGGCGGTAACGCGTGAACAGGAAGGCGGTAACGCGTGAACAGGAAGGCGGTAACGCGTGAACAGGAAGGCGGTAACGCGTGAACAGGAAGGCGGTAACGCGTGAACAGGAAGGCGGTAACGCGTGAACAGGAAGGCGGTAACGCGTGAACAGGAAGGCGGTAACGCGTGAACAGGAAGGCGGTAACGCGTGAACAGGAAGGCGGTAACGCGTGAACAGGAAGGCGGTAACGCGTGAACAGGAAGGCGGTAACGCGTGAACAGGAAGGCGGTAACGCGTGAACAGGAAGGCGGTAACGCGTGAACAGGAAGGCGGTAACGCGTGAACAGGAAGGCGGTAACGCGTGAACAGGAAGGCGGTAACGCGTGAACAGGAAGGCGGTAACGCGTGAACAGGAAGGCGGTAACGCGTGAACAGGAAGGCGGTAACGCGTGAACAGGAAGGCGGTAACGCGTGAACAGGAAGGCGGTAACGCGTGAACAGGAAGGCGGTAACGCGTGAACAGGAAGGCGGTAACGCGTGAACAGGAAGGCGGTAACGCGTGAACAGGAAGGCGGTAACGCGTGAACAGGAAGGCGGTAACGCGTGAACAGGAAGGCGGTAACGCGTGAACAGGAAGGCGGTAACGCGTGAACAGGAAGGCGGTAACGCGTGAACAGGAAGGCGGTAACGCGTGAACAGGAAGGCGGTAACGCGTGAACAGGAAGGCGGTAACGCGTGAACAGGAAGGCGGTAACGCGTGAACAGGAAGGCGGTAACGCGTGAACAGGAAGGCGGTAACGCGTGAACAGGAAGGCGGTAACGCGTGAACAGGAAGGCGGTAACGCGTGAACAGGAAGGCGGTAACGCGTGAACAGGAAGGCGGTAACGCGTGAACAGGAAGGCGGTAACGCGTGAACAGGAAGGCGGTAACGCGTGAACAGGAAGGCGGTAACGCGTGAACAGGAAGGCGGTAACGCGTGAACAGGAAGGCGGTAACGCGTGAACAGGAAGGCGGTAACGCGTGAACAGGAAGGCGGTAACGCGTGAACAGGAAGAGGGGAGAGGTAACCCGTGAACAGGGGAGAGGTGACGCGTGAACAGGAAGGAGATGATGCGTGAACAGGAAGAGGTAATGCGTGAACAGGAAAAGGTGAGAGGTAACGCGTGAACAGGAAGGCGGTAACGCGTGAACAGGAAGGAGGTGACGCGTGAACAGGGGAGAGGCGACGCGTGAACAGGGGAGAGGCGACGCGTGAACAGGGGAGAGGCGACGCGTGAACAGGGGAGAGGCGACGCGTGAACAGGGGAGAGGCGACGCGTGAACAGGGGAGAGGCGACGCGTGAACAGGGGAGAGGCGACGCGTGAACAGGGGAGAGGCGACGCGTGAACAGGGGAGAGGCGACGCGTGAACAGGGGAGAGGCGACGCGTGAACAGGGGAGAGGCGACGCGTGAACAGGGGAGAGGCGACGCGTGAACAGGGGAGAGGCGACGCGTGAACAGGGGAGAGGCGACGCGTGAACAGGGGAGAGGCGACGCGTGAACAGGGGAGAGGCGACGCGTGAACAGGGGAGAGGCGACGCGTGAACAGGGGAGAGGCGACGCGTGAACAGGGGAGAGGCGACGCGTGAACAGGGGAGAGGCGACGCGTGAACAGGGGAGAGGCGACGCGTGAACAGGGGAGAGGCGACGCGTGAACAGGGGAGAGGCGACGCGTGAACAGGGGAGAGGCGACGCGTGAACAGGGGAGAGGCGACGCGTGAACAGGGGAGAGGCGACGCGTGAACAGGGGAGAGGCGACGCGTGAACAGGGGAGAGGCGACGCGTGAACAGGGGAGAGGCGACGCGTGAACAGGGGAGAGGCGACGCGTGAACAGGGGAGAGGCGACGCGTGAACAGGGGAGAGGCGACGCGTGAACAGGGGAGAGGCGACGCGTGAACAGGGGAGAGGCGACGCGTGAACAGGGGAGAGGCGACGCGTGAACAGGGGAGAGGCGACGCGTGAACAGGGGAGAGGCGACGCGTGAACAGGGGAGAGGCGACGCGTGAACAGGGGAGAGGCGACGCGTGAACAGGGGAGAGGCGACGCGTGAACAGGGGAGAGGCGACGCGTGAACAGGGGAGAGGCGACGCGTGAACAGGGGAGAGGCGACGCGTGAACAGGGGAGAGGCGACGCGTGAACAGGGGAGAGGCGACGCGTGAACAGGGGAGAGGCGACGCGTGAACAGGGGAGAGGCGACGCGTGAACAGGGGAGAGGCGACGCGTGAACAGGGGAGAGGCGACGCGTGAACAGGGGAGAGGCGACGCGTGAACAGGGGAGAGGCGATGCGTGAACATGGGAGAGGTGCCGCGTGAACAGGGAAGAGGTAACGCATGAACAGGGGAGAGGTGACGCGTGAACAGGGGAGAGGTAACGCGTGAACAGGGTGTGGCTGAAGCCTTGACGGCCACCTCACGTCCCGCATCCCGCAGGGGTTCTTCCGGCGAACCATCCGCCTGAAGCTGGTGTACGACAAGTGTGACCGGAGCTGCAAGATCCAGAAAAAGAACCGGAACAAGTGCCAGTACTGCCGCTTCCACAAGTGCCTTTCGGTCGGGATGTCCCATAACGGTAGGTAAGGCCGCCGTCGCCGTTCCCAGCCCGGCCGCTCCCGCTCCGGCCCCGGTGGAAGGAGCACGTGCCCCCCAGCC